GTTCCCTGCTCCGCCGTGGCCTCCGGAACGGCCTGCTCCGCCATGGCTTCCTAGTCTGCTTGCTCCGCCATGGCACCCTGGACTGCCTGATCCACCCTGGAGGTATCCCCGTGTCCCAGCCCTGAGACAGCCTCCAGGGCGCCCACCAGGGAGGGGGGAGTAATGTCAGACTCTGTTCCGTGTTTTGTTCCCCATGTGTTCCATGACCTAGTTTTCCCTCATGTGCAATTATTGTTTCATTAGTTCCAGGTGTGTCTCTACCCTCGTCGCGCCCACCAGGGAGGGGGGAGTAATGTCAGACTCTGTTCCGTGTTTTGTTCCCCATGTGTTCCATGACCTAGTTTTCCCTCATGTGCAATTATTGTTTCATTAGTTCCAGGTGTGTCTCGTCATCCCCTCGTCATGTGTATTTAAAGTGTTCCCTGTTCTAAGTTTGGTCGTCCGGTATTGTATATGTCAACCTCCCCTGCTACGTGTGTTTTCCTGGTTCCCTTGATGTTATTAAAGTCTCCTTGTTGATGTACTCCACGTCTCCTCGTTCCTCGCTCCCTCACAGTAGCGATCGGGACGTCTAGAGAATGCTATTACTAATAATACTAATATTATTAAATTGTGGAAAAGGCAAAAACAATGTTACAATACACAATATAATTGGTAAATAGTAAAAACATTAAATAATTTGAGTGATTACGTAGTGAATCACGTAGTATTTCTATGCTGGTGAGACCACTGATAGAAACACAGTTTCAGTCATTTTGCACAAAAGTATTTACAGGTAATTGTACTCTTACTGTCACTGACACTAATTACATAAATACATCAGGATTATTGCTGGATTTTTACTACAAAACAACATAAATGCTGCAAATGATAATTTTTAAGAATTCAATTTTAAGAGTCATTTTAGGTCACAAAAAAAAAAAAAATTCCCTGAAATCCTGATGAGACTGATTGCTAATATACAGCCTCACTTCACGTTTGGGGTCTTCATGATCAAATTCATCAATATGAATTATAACATTTTATCGAGTTTGAGGATCACCTGATCCAATCGTGATGAACGTTACTCAGAATTGGTACTATAGAGTTCAGTGATTTCATGACGTATTAAATCAGAAGGAGAAATGAGGTAAAAAGCTGAAATGTTGGTAAAGTTTTGAACTGTTGGTGGCGCTAGTGGTGTTTGACAACTAAATATATCTTCCAGAAGAAAGAGCTGCTTGTCTACCTGCAACTTGCACTTTTTTGCACTATGGAGTTTATATAATACAGTTGTTTGCTAGACTTTTTTAGTCTGGATTAGTCTAACTCACGGCTGTAGGTTCAAACTCCAGAAAGGATGACTGATCATTTACCACTATCGTACATGAATTATCATGAAGCATAAGGAATGTTTCACACCACATATGTAAATATTATAAAAGTGAAACTGACACAGACGGCTGTGTAATTAAGCTGCGGCTCTAAACAGAAAATAGATGAACTAAGTGAAGCTATAAATGACTGAAATCATCTGGATTCTGACAGATTGACTGAACAGAAAGTCCTCTGTCTCTGCACTTAACTTGTATTTTGACTGATAGAAGTACATATTTTGTCAGAAAACATTTGAATAGTTCACTCCATTATTCTATGTTGCTTAACCAAAGCCTATTATAGGAAAGATTTTGCTGATAAAGGTTTACGCAGTGGCTTCAGTCACTTTGTGTGGCTTACGTGAATGAAACTCCTCATGCCGCTCAAAATGAGTTTGACAGTAAGACTCCAGACACACGAGACAGGACTTGATGGCTCTGTATTTCCTTCCAGTACAGACGTCACACTGCACATCTCCAGCTCCAGCGTCACAGTCAGCAGAGAGTTTGGTCTTCTTCAGTTTCTCCACCACTTCAGCCAGCATGGTGTTTCTAGCTAAAGCAGGTCTTGGACTGAAGGTCTGTCTGCACTGAGGGCAGCTGTAGACTCTCTTCTGATCCTCGTGATCCCAGCAGTCTGTAATACAGCTCTTATAGTAACTGTGTCCACAGGGAATGGCCACTGGATCCTTCAGGAGATCCAGACACACTGGACACATGAACTCATCCTGAGAAACTCTGGCTTCTGCCATTTTACTGCAGAAATACAGAGACACAGACACTCAACAGTTCAGCTACACTTCAGTTTCTCTTTCCCTGAACTCATGTGATTCTGTTTCCGTGTTTGAGTGACGTGTGTAAAACAGGTGTTTCTGAGTCTGTAAAGCAGGTTACTCAATCCTGCTTCTTCAACACACCTGACTGTTATTAAAGTAAACGCAAAGACTACTTGATTCAGGTGCATTTAATTAGAGATCAAACTAAACTCTATGGGAAAATGACTCTCCTGGACTAGGAATGGTGAACCTGCTTCTTAGTAAATTACTTTGAATAAATGAATATATTAATTTGCATTCATATCTAATTGTTTGGTTACTGCTACTGGCAGCTACGAGTTTAGGCCTATAATGTGTTCCCTACCATTCTCACTGTAAGGCCCTTGCCTGTTTATTGACCACGCCTTTGTAAATAAAGCCTTGCACATGGATCCGCACGTCTCACATCTCGTTCGCCCCTTAACAGAATGCTTCCTGAGTCTTGTCATATCACTGCTGATCATCCAGAGTCTTGTCACGTCCTGTTTGTTGCACCCAGATTATCAAGGTCAGCCCTTCAGTATCCTAGTCTGGTATCCAGTGTGAGGGATGCACTGCTGGTGTCTGCACGCGCAGCTGGTATCCCCAAACCCACTCACTCTAACCCTTCTGTT